TAAAAAAAAAAAAAAAAAAAAAAAAAAAAGACATGCTGTCAAAGATCACAGGTGGCCAGTATTAGAACTGTTTCCTTACCTCTGTTGTTTAAACACAACAAATGACCTTGAAAAAAAAAAAAAACCCTCGCCCCTCAGCAGGGATGAATGTGCCTTGACTAACAGCAGGAGGTGGGTGGCATGTCAGCAAGAGCTCTAGAGCAGGCACCGGAAACCTGGGCTCCCACTTCAGTCCTGGGAGGCCTCTAGGGGCACTCCCAGCTCTCCGGGCTTCCATTTCCTCATCTGCATACTTAGAGTAACACCTGCTATGAGGAGCAAAGGTGGTCAAGTCAGGAAAAGCTTCCAAATAAGACAGTCACCATTCCAATGAAAAGCACCATCAGCCCCACAGAGAAACCACTGGGGGTGACAACACCCTCAACCCGCAGACACACGCAGGCTGTGGGTTTGGTCTCATCTCTTGAGTGCCCCTTGGTGGGGTACGAGGAGCCTGCTGGGTCCTAGTCCCAGGTCTGTTCAAGGGCCCAGGGAATCCATAGGCCCTGGTAGTCTAGTGGCCCATTTCACAGCCCCGTAGCCTGAGGCCCAGGCATGCTGGGACCTGACCCTTTCCCCCTTGCTTCTCTTCACAGTGCAGGATTTGGACTGCTACACCACCGTTGCTCAGCTGTGCCCTTTTGAAAAGCCAGCGACTCACTGCCCAAGGTAAGGCGGGCCTGATCTGTCATCTTTTCTATGCATGATGTTAGATGTACTGATCTGTCATCTTTTCTATGCATGATGTTAGATGTAGCTTTTTAGGTTGGTTGAGGTGGCTTATGCCTATAATCCCAGCACTTTGGGAGGCTGAGGCAGGTGGATCACTTGAGGCTAGGAGTTGGTGACTAGCCTGGCCAACATGGTGAAACCCCATTTCTACTAAATTAAAAAAAATTAGTCAGCCATGGTGGTGGGTTCCTGTAATCCCACCTACTCGGGAAGCTAAGGCAGGAGAATTGCTTGAACCTGGGAGGCGGAGGTTGCAATGAGCTGAGATCACATCATTGTCCTCCAGCCTGGGTGACAAGAGTGAAACTCTGTCCTAAAATAAATAAAATAAAAATTAAAAATCGGCTTTATTGAGGTACATGATACCATCCACCCATTAGAAGTACACCATGTGGGCAGGGCGCGGTGACTCAAGCCTGTAATCCCAGCACTTTGGGAGGCCGAGACGGGTGGATCACAAGGTCAGGAGATCGAGACCATCCCGGCTAACACGGTGAAACCTCGTCTCTACTAAAAAATACAAAAAAAACCTAGCCGGGAGAGGTGGCAGGCGCCTGTAGTCCCAGCTACTTGGGAGGCTGAGGCAGGAGAATGGCGTAAACCCAGGAGGCGGAGCTTGCAGTGAGCTGAGATTCGGCCACTGCACTCCAGCCTGGGCGACAGAGCGAGACTCCGTCTTAAAAAAAAAAAAAAAAAGTAGTACACGATATGTTTTGGCCAAGGCATACAGGGTCACAACCACCACCCATCAAAGCGTAGGACACTATCACCACCCCATGTCATTACTGCCTTGGTGGTCAGTCCCTCTCCCTCCACCTCCCAGCCACACCTCTGCCACCAGGGAGCTTCTCTCTGTTGCTCTGATTTTGCTTTTTCAGCAAAATTATGGCACCGTGGTGGGGTGTGGTCCTGGGTGTCCTGGGTGTCTGTGGCTTCTTTCAGTCTGTGTCATGTGTTGAAGACTCAGCCGTGTTGTGGAGTGTGTTTGTGTATTCTTTCAAATCCTTATGCAGCATTCCATTCTGTGGATACGTGACAACGGGTTCGTCCCGGGAATCAGTTCTACAGGCAGCTAACCCCAAATGACTGATCCGTGGAGGATGATGCCTCCCAGCCCAAAATAAAGGGTGTCCTGGCAACACCTGTCACTGAAGTTCCTAGTAGATCCTCTTGGGAAGGGAACACAGGAAACATCCTCTCATTTGAATGGGCTGAGGCGCCTTCTCAGATGGAAAAGGCCACAGGATGTCTCCACTTTGTAGATGTTCCCCAGGGTTCAGATCATATAATACATCTGTAATGCTAAGCTGCCCTTCAAACAGAGCACACTTTCTGACTTAGCTCCATTGTAAAATTAGAAATAGAATGAGAGTCCCAGGACCCTGGGTTGAAATGCTCTGAGGATGAAGACATCTGCCCTGGAGGCTGGGTGGTGTGGCCTTCATGAGCCCTTATACTGGGCTGGAGACCTGTGGATTCTCCAAGGGACAATACGCAGTGACCCCAGGGTCTGAGCAGGGAAAGGCCTGGAGGGCAATGGTTGGGAGGGGCCCAGACTCCTTTCCCTCGGCCACCACCCCACTTCAGCCTTTCTCTGGGCCTCCGCTGCCTCCGCACCACCATCTTGATCCCTCTTGAATGTTCGAGTGGGGATAACAACCTTTTAGTAGATTTTCCCTGAATATTAGAAAGAAGCAGAAGGAAAGAATTTCAGAAAATACAAACAGAAAAACTTGACAGAGTACAGTATCCAAAATGTTAATTTCTGACCTGCCATTCCAAAAGAAGAAGTAGGAGAGAATGCAGAATGTTCTTAGAGTCTCTCCAATTCTTTTTCAATTCTTTTTTTTTTTCTTGGTTTTTGAGACCAAGTTTTGCTCTTGTTGCCCAGGCTGGAGTGCAGTGGCACGATCTTGGCTCACTGCAACCTCTGCCTCCCAGGTTCAAGCCATTCTTCTGCCTCAGCCTCCCTAGTAGCTGGGTTACAGGGCTACACCACCACGCCTGGCTAATTTTGTATTTTTAGAGATGGAGTTTCCCCGTGTTGGCCAGGCTGGTCTCGAACTCCTGACCTCAGGTGATCCGCCTGCCTCGGCCTTCCAAAGTGCTGGCGTTACAGTTGTGAGCCACCACGCCTGGCCTTTTTTTTTTTTTTTTTTTTAATCCACACACACACCGTTTCTCTCTACCCACTCATTTCCCTTCCTCCCCGCCCCTAAGAACTGTTTCAACTTCTCAGTCCCTTTGCCAGGCCTTCTTCCTTCCCATAATCCTGCCCATCTGGGGCCCTATGGCTTCCAGCTGCCATTTTGGTTTCTTGATCCCTGGGCTCCAGCCCACGGTGGACTGTTCCGGATAAACAAAGAAGGTCTTTTTTTAAGTAAAGCCCATGCTCTTTCCCAGCTTGAGTTTGTCAAACCACCCAGGAGTCACTCATTTCCTCACCCCCTGGAGCATCTGTGGGGACTGACACAGAGTGATCTAACCCCTTCCACCACAGGTTATCAGTGCCCCGTCCTTGGAATATTCTGTGACTCACTGAGGTGAGGGCCCTCCACCCTTTCCTCCTCCACACAGGGAAGCGGCGTTAGAAAAAGTCTCTCGATGCTAATCTCTGTAATGTACCCACAGTATGAACTGGTCAACACCCAAGAATGGGAGGGGCGGCCTCGCAATTCCACACTCTTCTCCCTTAGATGTTTCTTCCCTTTACCTTTTTGTTTATGCATGTCTTTTGTGGATGTGTGTTTGTTTTTATCTACACTATTTAAGAGAAGCAAAGATATTAATCTTTACCTCTGCTGAGGTGGGGGGAAGTATTGTTTTTTTTCTTAATGAGGAAAACTGTATGGCGGTTTCCTTTCATCTAAGAGCTTAAATCTTGGAATTCAAATAAAGAGAGCCAGCTTAAGACGTTTGGTTTTCTGTGCTCAGACCCATCACATAAATGCCTCCTGTTTTCCAGAGTCCGTTGTCCGGCGCACTGCAAAGACGAGCCTTCCTACTGGGCTCCGGTGTTTGGAACCAACATCTACGCAGATGTGAGTAGAATGCATTTGCAACAACTGCCTCTCAAAGCCTGTTAAGACCTCAACATGCACGCTCCAAAATCTGGATACTTGAGACTTTATTCCAGTGCCTCTTAGCTTAATTAATTAATTAATTAATTTAGAGACGGAGTCTCACTCTGTTGCCCAGGCTGGAGTGCAGTGGAGTAATCTTGGCTCACTGTAACCTCTGCCTCCTGGGTTCAAATGATTCCCATACCTCAGCCTCCCAAGTAACTGGGGTTACACAGTGCACCACCACGCCTGGCTAATTTTTGTATTTTTAGTAGAAACAGGGTTTCACCATGTTGGCCAGGCTGGTTTTGAACTCCCGACCTCAGACGATCCGCCCACCTCTGCTTCCCAAAGCACTGGGATTCCAGGCGTGAGTTACCGCACCCAGCCAACCCCTTAGCTAAGTTTCCATCACTCATTTCTGCAAACATTGCCCCCATTTCCCCATTTCTAGAGATAGTAGTGCTTCCACCTACCTGTCCTCATGAATGTAGATGCAGGAGTGCCTGGCCTTACTCAAATGTTTTCATAGTTTGAAGGCTCTCATGCTTCAGATAGTTCATTTTTCCAGCTATTTAGTCATCTTCCCAGCTCTCTGGATGCATTTATAGAAACTGGTCCACGCACTGTATTTCTTCTCGGTTATGCATACACCTAGCTAAAAGCACAAAGAAGATAATACAGACTACCCTAATTTACTACTTGTTAATAGCACTCTTGTTATACGAATCTCTTCCTCTATTTTTTCCCTCCGAATTTTAACCAAGGAGCTTTAGCCTGGTTTTTCTTAGGTGAATCCTGCAGAACATAGTCTGTTCCATCTGGTTGTCCAGGGTTTGGGGACATGGTGACACAGACGATGTGACTGTGGTCCCAGTTCTGCTGCCAGCAGGCTGTGTGACCTTGCCAAGCTGTTTCCTTGTGGTTGAATGGCCCAGAACTGGGATTATCAAATCCAGGGAATCTTCTAGATCTAAAATTCCATGATTAAGGCAGCATCATTCATCCCTAGCTAATGTTTTTTATTTTTTTATTTTCTGAATAGAGACAGGGTCTCACTATGTTGCCCCCAGGCTGATCTTGAACTCCTGGGCTCGAGCGATCCTCCCTCCTTGGCCTCCCAAAGTGCTGGGATTATAGGGGTGAGCCACTGCACCCAGCCTGCAGATAGTACTTTACTCAGCTGCTTGTCATCATCCCCTCCTTTACAGCTCTCCCCCGCCTCCCCACCACCATCTTTGCCTCTGTCCGCACTAATTTGTTCCAGATTCCTGTAAATATGAGGTCACTGGGCTCTGTAAGGTCAGAGCAGGCTTCATGACTAAGCGTTTTCCCCCTATCTTTTTTCTTTCCTCTTTAAATGGGTCTTTTTTCCTTCTTGAAAGTGATTCAGCTAAAATTGAGTTATGAGAGTTAGAATTTTTATGAAGGAGTAAAATAATATATATCGATTATTACACCAAATGTTTGAACCAAATTCTACCATTAAGAGACAGAGTCTGAGGTTTTCAAATAATATAAAAATAAAGGCCGGGCGCGGTGGCTCAAGCCTGTAATCCCAGCACTTTGGGAGGCCGAGACAGGCGGATCACGAGGTCAGGAGATCGAGACCATCCTAGCTAACACAGTGAAACCCCGTCTCTACTAAAAAAAAATACAAAAAATTAGCCGGGCGAGGTGGCGGGCGCCTGTAGTCCCAGCTACACGGGAGGCTGAGGCAGGAGAATGGCGTGAACCCGGGAGGCGGAGCTTGCAGTGAGCCGAGATCCGGCCACTGCACTCCCGCCCGGGCGACACAGCGAGACTCCATCTCAAAAAAAAAAATAAATAAATAAAGAGCTGGGCAAAGCTATCCCAGTCAAATACAAACAAACACATGAAAAGCAAGAGTGCCAATATTCCTCTCTGAAAAAGTGGAATTTAAAGTTAAATGTACTGAATGAGATAAAGTAATGTTACACAATGGCACAAAAGATACAGTTTACTGGAAAAGGAATAAAAATTATACACACCAAACAATATAGCAGCTAAACCTATAAAGCAAAAAAAAAAAAAAAAAAAAAAAAAAAAGAAAAATCTTAATGGTTTTTTACAAAAAAAAAGGGCTTTTTTTTTTTTTTTTTTTTTTTTTTTTGAGACAGTTTTGTCCCTGTCGCCCAGGCTGGAGTGCAATGGCACAATCTCGGCTCACTGCAACCTCCCAGGTTCAAGCGAGTCTCCTGCCTCAGCCTCCCGAGTAGCTGGGATTACAGGCGCCTGCCACCACACCCAGCTAATTTTTGTATTTTTAGTAGAGATGGGGTTTCACCATGTTGGCCAGGCTGGTCTCGAACTCCTGACCTCAGGTGATCCATCCGCCTTGGCCTCCCAAAGCACTGGGATGACCTACATGAGCCACTGCGCCCGGCCAGAAGGCTACCTTTTATTCAACACATACTATGTTTTAGGTCCTTTAAAAACACCATTTCTAGGTATCTTTATCCTTATCCCTGTCGGAAGAAAACAAGGCTTATCGTAACCTGTCCAAATCCACGCAGTAAGCACGTGGCAAAGATGACAAACAGATGGAGATGTGTCCGGCTTTCAACTCTGCTCCTTCCCTGGTCTGTCTTGCCTTGCTTAATGTTACCTGCATTCATAGTTACACCGATATGAACAGGCATGAGGGTGAGGAGCTACGTGCAGTCTTCACGAACAAGCGTCACTAGGATTTTGAGCTTTGGGGACCACAGTGCTCATGACAGGGCTTGACACCATCATTGTTTGTTGGAGGAATAAATCAATGAAGATAGTACAGTAGTCAGTACTTACACAGCTCTTAAAAAAGGAAGAAAGAATGAAGCAGGGAAGAGGGAAGGAGACAAGGAGGGAAGGAAGAAAGCCTCCTCCGTGTGAGAGGTTCTTTTCTGGCCTTAGTTTCTAGGTCACTGTATTCTGGGAAATGATGATGGCTTTTGGAAAATGTCTGTTTAGCTATGGGATTGATTTTGGGAGAGTTGCCTCCAGACCTTCAAAGGGCCTGTTCCTGCCTGTGGCTCCCGCCTGTTCACCAGGACTGCATTTCCTGGCAGACCCCTCGCTGTGTGGCGAGCTGCAGACAGAAGCATCGGGGTGTGGCCCAGGGAGCCGAGCCACGGTGGTGACATTTGCCAGTTGTGGGAAGCCGGGCAACCTTTCCCCTCCTCTGAACCTCAGTCTTCTGTCCTCCCCGTCCTCCTTGGTGCTTGGATACGTTCTCACACTTGTGCACGTATCAGAATCCACCCCCGCACCTCCCTGAGGGCTGGAGCAGATTTCCAGGCCTCGCCCTGGAATCATTTAGGATCAGTGGGGCTGGGTGAAGCCAGAGAATCTGCATTTCCAGCAAGTTCCCAGGTGACCCTGCTGGTCTGGAACTGCATGTTGAGGACCACTGGGCTGGCGAGGACAAGCCCTTGGGAGTTTTCTGTTCTGGCAGTGGTGACTATGGCAATCATGGCGGTGGCATTTGTCTTGACTGACACCTACTAAGCATGTGCTGTGTGCCATCCTGCGTTAAGCCTGGGGTCTTATTTAATCTTTTTTTTTTTTTTTTTGAGACAGAGTCTCACTCTCTGTCACCCAGGCTGGAGGGCAGTGGCGTGACCTTGGCTCACTGCAACCTCCGCCTCCCGGGTTCAAGCAATTCTCCTGCCCCAGCCTCCCAAGTAGCTGGGATTACAGGCATGCACCACCACACCAAGCTAATCTTTGTATTTTTAGTAGAGACAGGGTTTCTCCATGTTGGCCAGGCTGGTCTCGAACTCCTGACCTCAAGTGATCTGCCTGCCTCTGCCTCCCAAAGTGCTGGGCTTACTGGTGTGAGCCACCGCGCTCAGCCCTTCTTTAATCTTCCCAGGAGCCCTCTTCTTCCTCACTGTCATCACCCTATGTCGGACAGTGGACAGATTGCCGCCGGCTCCACAGCTCCACACGGCAGTCCCGCCTCTGATCTTTATCAGCTGAGTGATTTGGGGCAAGGCGTGAGCCCCCGGCCCCTCAGTCTGCCTGTCTGTTGAAAGGGAATGATAATGATAAACCTACCTGGTAGAGTTGTTGGGATCACTGTGTCAACGTACGTGAAATGCTTAGAACAAAGACGCGTAAAGATGTGACCTGATCTGCTTTATGTGGAGAAAGGAGGGGCTCTGGGGTTCACACAGGTCACCCCAGGTCACACAGCCAGCAAGCGCTGGATGCAGGATTGGTTACCAACCTCATGGATATCAATTGTTAATAAATACTCAGGTATTCCTGTTGCAACAGGCCCTGAGAAAAGGAATTGGACGCCTTGTCCCGTTTACTGAAGCCTGCTGAGAGGAGAGGTGTGGGAGGAAGGAAGGCAGAAAGGAAAGGTGTTTGCGTGGGAGATGTGCCTGTTGATAACAGGGCCTGTGGCGTGAGAAAGATCCCGCCATGGGTGTGAGCTTTTCATACTGATGCCCTGCGGCTTGATGTTATCACAGAAAACTTCGTGTCACTTTTGTGTGCAGAAATCCTCCAGGGACTGAGTCAAAGCACGGCCTCTGGGGCTGCCGACCAGAACCTCTTGGCAGGTCTCAGCCAGGAGGGTGCCCCTCCCCCGCCAGGGCTTTTAGAGGTTGAGCTTTCGACACCGAAGGGATGGGTCCCTCCTGGCGTTCCACTGGGAAACAGCCCGGCCTCGCTCCTGGTGCTGCAGCCGTTGGCAGTGTGAGCAATGCTCAGAGAGACAGAGAGCCTGGAGGCCTTATTTCATCCTGTTGTTGTTGTTGGAAATGCAAATTCTCTGGCTCCACTCAACCACTGATCCTGAATGCTGACACCCGGGCCTAGAAATCTGCTCCAGCCCTCCGGGAGGAGCGGGGGTGGATTCTGAAACCCGCACAAGTGTGAGAACTTATCCCAGCACCAAGGCCTCCGCCTGCTGTAAAGAACAATGAGCCTGATTGTATTCACTTACCAAACTTGCCCCTTTTGAGAGGAATTCTAAAATGGTCACTTCATCTTCAAGTCTCCTCACTTCTCTTTGAGTTGGATGCAAAGTTATTGCTCCTTAGTCCTTAGCCGGCACAGAGCTCTCTGAGAATTAAGAAGTTGTGGATCTTTCCTCTGAAGAGGGAAAATGCGTCCCGGTTCAGGCAGGGGGGCTGGCTACCCCGGTTTGCCGAGGGCTGAGGGGTTTCCCGTGCCCTGTGCTAACACCAGCCCCAGCCGGTTCACAGCTTTCTGCCGGCAACTCCAGGGCCTCCTAGATACCCAGGACCCCACTTTGGGCTAAGGAAACCTGCCTTCATCCAGTTAGTTTATTTATTGAAGAAGATGAAGACATGTTAGCACAGGGTTTTTAGAAAGTGGCCTTCAGTTACTCAGTAAACGAATCCTGGAAAGCAGGAAATCCACTTTTCAGGTCTTTGATATGAATGTGTGTGTTGGCTCCACTTTTCTCTTTTGTTTTTTGTTTTTCTGAATAGGCCTTTGACTGTTAATGTGGGAATGCTGGATCCACTCTTTTTTTTTTTTTTTTTTTTTGAGATGGGGTCTCGAGCTCTGTCGCACAGGCTGGAGTGCAGTGGTGCCATCGCAGCCCACTGCAGCCTCAACCCCCTGGGCCCAAGCGTTCCTCCCACCTCAGTCACCCATGTCGCTGGAACTACAGGCATGTGCCACGACGCCTGACTAATTTTTTAAATTTTTTTGTAGAGACCAGGTCTCGCTATGTTGTCCAGGCTCGTCTTGATCCATGCCCGGCTAATTTTTGTATTTTTAAAAGAGACAGGCCGGGCGCGGTGGCTCAGGCCTGTAATCCCAGCACTTTGGGAGGCCAAGATGGGCGGATCACGAGATCGAGACCATCCTGGCTAACACGGTGAAACCCCGTCTCTACTAAAAAGTACAAAAAACTAGCTGGGCGTGGTGGTGGCGCCTGTAGTCCTAGCTACTCGGGAGGCTGAGGCAGGAGAAAACCCAGGAGGCGGAGCTTGCAGTGAGCTGAGATCTGGCCACTGCACTCCAGCCTGGGCGACAGAGCGAGACTCCGTCTCAAAAAATAATAATAAAATAAAAATAAATAAAAGAGACAGGGTTTTGCCATGTTGGCCAGGCTGGTTTCGAACTCCTGACCTCAGGTGATCTGCCTGCCTGGGCCTCCCAAAGTCCTGGGATTACAGGTGTGAGCCACCGCACCCGGCCAAACTGGTATTTTCAAAGAGTCCACCTCTGTTCATTCCCTCATGCCTGGAACCTGCTAGATTGTGTTGTTTGTCACATTCAAAGGGCAGCTCAGGGTGCATTTTCCAGACAAACTGTCCTTTTACAGTGGATCCTGAGACACAGGCTCTCTTTGGCCTTAGCAATGCTTCCAGGGCCCCCGAATGGGCCGAGGACAGTGGTAAGGACAGGGGACAAAGGAGCTACGAGACTGTGCCAGGGACGGTGGTGGTCTGGCCTCTCTTGAGGGGTCACTGATTATTTCTAGAAAGGCTCCCCAAGCTTGGGTTTAGCTCCCCACTCCCTTCTCTGTTGTAGTTAAAAAAAAAATACAACATAAGCCGAGCAATGGCTCACACCTGTAATCCTGGCATTTTGAGAGGCCAAGGTGGGAGGATCGTTTGAGGCCAGGAGTTTGAGACCAGCCTGAGCAACATGGTGAAACCCTATCTCTAAAGAAAATGGAAAAATTAGTCAGGCGTGGTGGTGCGTGCCTGCAGTCCCAGCTACATAGGAAGCTGAGGTGGGAGGATCACTTGAGCCCGGGAGGTCAAAGCTCTGCTGAGCCCAGATGGTATCACTGCACTCCAGCCTGGGTGACAAAGTGAGACCCTGCCTCCCCCACAAAAAAAATATGTAACATAAAACTTAACCATTTTTAAGTGCACAGCTTAGTTGTATTAAGCATATTCACGTTGTAATGGGTTAGACCTCTGGAACTGTTTCGTCTTGCAAATCTGGAACTCTGCACCCACTGAACTGCAGTTTCCTACTTCCCCTCCGCCAGCCCCTGTACTTTCTGTCTCCATGAATTTGACTTCTTTGGATGCCTCCTATAAATGAAATCATCCCAGCTTCATCTTCTCCACCATGTCTTGCTCTTTTCTTGAAGGAGGTGCCAGCTTGGTGAACCAGTGGCTGGGACTTCATCATCTTCTCCCCAGTGACCCCTGGGGCTCGGGTACTGTGCAGAGGGGAGGGTTTCAGAGGTGACAGAGCCCAGCCCTGCCCTCCGGCTGAGTGACCCACTGCTGGATGTTAAGCTTTCAGGCTCAAACCTGCTGGTGGTGGCTTCTGTCTGCACACTACACACGCGGGGAGGACAGAACACGGGAGCCTGCACTGTTCACCTCCCCACCCTTGACGCACAGAGTGCCTGGGGGCTCAGTCCCCTGACAGCCACGGCCGTGACGTCACTCAGTTGTGAATGGAGGCAAGACTGGAGTCTGTCTTCCTGCTCTGTAGACAATGGGTCCGGCTTTTCATCTTTCCTTAAATTAGCAAGTTGCTGTGGGGGACTGATCAGGCGAGTCCATGAGCCTGGGTGAGCCTGTTGTCCAGACATCCATGGTGCCATTCTCCTGGAGATTCTATTTCCTATAAATTTGAAGTCAGGCCGGGCACGGCGACTCACGCCTGTAATCCCATTACTTTGGGAGGCCGAGGTGGGTGGATCACCTGAGGTCAGGAGTTCGAGACCAGCCTGACCAACATGGAGAAACCCTGTCTCTACTAAAAACACAATAGCCGGGCATGGTGGGGCAGGCCTGTAATCCCAGCTACTTAAGAGACTGAGGCAGGCCGGGCGCGGTGGCTCGCACCTGTAATCCCAGCACTTTGGGAGGCCGAGACGGGCGGATCACGAGGTCAGGAGATCAAGACCATCCCAACATGGGCTAGCATGGTGAAACCCCATCTCCACTAAAAAATACAAAAAACTAGCCGGGCGAGGTGGCGGGCGCCCGTAGTCCCAGCTACTCGGGAGGCTGAGGCAGGAGAATGGCATAAACCCGGGAGGTGGAGCTTGCAGTGAGCTGAGATCCGGCCACTGCACTCCAGCCTGGGCGACAGAGCAAGACTCCGTCTCAAAAAAAAAAAAGAGACTGAGGCAGAAGAATCACTTGAACCCAGGAGGCAGAGGCTGCAGTAAGCTGAGATTGCACCATTGTACTCCAGCCTGGGCAGTAAGAGTGAAACTCCATCTCAAAAAATAGATAGATAGATAGATAGATAGATAGATAGATAGATAGATAGATAGACAGACAGACAGACAGACAGATAGATAGATAGATAGACAGACAGACAGACAGATACACAGATAGACAGACAGACAGATAGATAGATAGACAGACAGACAGACAGACAGACAGATAGATAGATAGATAGATAGACAGACAGACAGATAGACAGATGGATAAATTTGAAGTCATCAAACTTAAGGGACTTCATAAATCAGATCACTAGATCTATCCACAGTGGGGACAGTTTTGTGGACAGTGGTTAGAAGCTGTTCAGTTCCTATTACTGTTAGAATAAATCATCACAGACATGGTGGCTTAAAGAAACCCAGGTTTATTATCTTTACAGTTCTGGAGGCCAGAAGTCCAATGTGGGTATCACCAGGGTAAAATCAAGGTGGCAACAGAGCTGGTTCCTTCTAGAGGCTTCAAAGGAAAATCAGTTTTCTTGCCTTTTCCGGTTTCTAGAGGCCACCTGTATTCCTTGGCTCATGGCCTCTTATTCCATCTTCAAAACCAGCAATGGGGCCGGGTGCAGTGGCTCATGCCTGTCATCCCAGCACTTTGAGAGGCCAAGGCAGGAGGATTGCTTGAACCTAGGAGTTCAGGACCAACGTGAGCAACACAGCGAGACCTTGTCCCTACAAATAACTTTTACAAGTTAGCCAGGTGTTGTGGTATACAACTGTAGTCCCAGCTACTTGCGAGGCTGAGGTGGGAGGATCCCTTGAGCCTGGAAGGTTTTATCACCCAGAAATTGAACTCCTTGATGATGTCAGAAAACAGCACATCCTGCCTCTGCATGGTACCCAGCTGTTCCCTTAGTACCTAGAATAGTCCAGAACCCACCCCGTGTCCAGTCTACATGGCATGAATGGCCCCTGCCTACACCTCCTGCCACATTCTGCCTGACTCACTGTATTCCAACCGCCCTGTCCGTCTGTCTATTTCTTGGACGTGATGAGTTCACATCCACCCCAGGGCGTTTGCACGAGCCTTTCCCTCTGCCTGGGATACTCTGTGCAGAGACATTCCCACGGCTGTGACTGTTTCCTTTTTGTCATTCAGCCTTCCCTGAGCAGTTCCCCCTGATGAAACTACTCTCAGGCAGGCCCCCTCCACCCAGGCATTTAGCTGGTTTTGTTTTCTTCATAACAGACGCTACCTCATTTGTATATTTATTTATTTGCTCACTTGACTCCATGAAGGCAAGGTCTTTATCTTGTTCCCTGCTGAATTCCCCCAGTTCCTAATACAGTGCCTGGCATATAATAGGTGCTTAGAAAACACTTGTTGAACAAATGAATGAATGCATAATGTCCAGTCTCTCTGGAGAGACCACCGAGGAATCAAGGTAGTGATGATTATTTCCCAGGGGTTGATGTGGTCGACACCCCACCAGCCGGGGCGCCCGGCAGTGAATGGTTGAGCCCCAGCTGGCTTGACCCGTGAACTGGAACCCCCATCCCTGACCACAGTCCCTCCTGTGCTTCCAGACCTCGAGCATCTGCAAGACAGCCGTGCACGCGGGAGTCATCAGCAACGAGAGCGGGGGTGATGTGGATGTGATGCCCGTGGATAAAAAGAAGACCTACGTGGGCTCACTCAGGAACGGAGTTCAGTCTGAAAGGTAGGGCGGTGTTCTCCAACCTTTGACACCCAAGCCCGGTTGCTAATGGTCCCTCCGGGGGCCTGGGAAGAGGCTCAGAGTCATTACCCTTTAAAATAAAACTCCAGTAGACTTGCATGAATTCTTACCAGGCACTCCCAGGTAAGAGCCTTCTTTGCTTTTCTCTTTCTTTTGTTTTTCAAAATAGGGAATGCTTTTCCCTACTATCACATTTAGGATTAAGAAAAAAAAAAAAAGAACGTTTTTTCCTATTATCAATGAACGTTTATATAGAAAATTCAGAATCTGTAGGAACATCAGATAAGCCCGAAGATAAACAATCATCCGTAACTCATCAGCGGGGAGAATTACTGTTAGATTTCTTGGCGTGCGTCCTTGCGGTTATTTTTCTTTGTGTGTGTGTGCATTTTTTTTTCCCACAAAAAATGGGATCAAATGATAGTTACATACTAGTCATATAAAGCTACATTGTAATATAGTTACATAGAGTTAAATAAGATCAGGGAGCCTGGAGTCCTACAGACTTGGGCCCTGTTTCTTACCAGCTTTGTGGCCCCGAGCAAGCCACCTGATTTCCTTGAGCCTCAGTTTTCTCATCTGTGAAATAGGGATAATAATAGACCCTGCCCCACAGGGCTGTTGGGAGGTGAACGGAGATGGTGCCTACCTAGTGCCTGGCAGTAAGAAGCACTCTGCAAATGAGGGTGATGTTGATTACTCCGTATTCCCACTCGAGACCATACCTTTATGGAAATCTACAACCATAAGTCATTGGTAGTGACTGCAAATGACTGTAGCATGCTTCTCTTCATAGCTGGTGTAAGTCCTTTCCATCGGGGGGGCAGATCCTCCCCTAGTAAGTAGCCTTCTCCGGGAATCTCTGCACACACTGTGATTGTTTCCTTAAATCCCTAGAAGTGGGCTGAGTGTGCTGACTCAAGCCTGTAATCCCAGCACTGTGGGAGGCAGAGGTGGGTGGATCACCTGAGGTCAGGTGAGGCAGGAGAATCGCTTGAACTCGGGAGGTGGAGGCTGTAGTGAGCCAGGATTGCGCCACTACACTCCAGCCTGGGCAACAAGAGCAAAAGTCTGTCTCAAAAAAAAAGAAAAAACAAAAAAAAAGAAGTCCCTAGAAGTGAAATTCCTAAGTGGGGCATTTCCCGAGTGTCCTTCAGAAAAGGCACTCAGCCTCCCGAGTAACTGGGATCACAGGCATGCGCCACCACACCCCACTAATTTTTGTATTTTTACTAGAGATGGGGTTTCGCCATGTTAGCCAGGCTGGTCTCAAACTCCTGACCTCAGGTGATGCGCCTGGCTTGGCCTCCCAAAGTGCTGGGATTACAGGCATGAGCCACCGCACTCAGCTGCCGTGATTATCTCTTTAAAGATCTCCAAATACAGTCACATTCTGAGGTGCACTTGAGCGTTAGGACTTTTAGGACTTTAACATCGGATTTTGAGGGACCACAGGTGAGCTCATAACGGGGCAATGTTGAAGATTTCATATTCGAGGGCCGCTCTTTAGAGAAGGAATAAAATCAAGACTGTAAGGTGCCCTGGGACCTTGGTCACTCAAGCGTCCCTGCCTTCTGGAACACGGCCCCTGCTTCCACCGCCAGCCTCCTGGGCACTTTGAGCAGCGGGCTCACCCTGTGAAGACGCCACAGTGTCACTTGTACCCAGATCGTGCCCATTCTTCCCGGGACCCCTGCCCGGTGACTGTGCCGTCGGCAGCCCCGAAGAGCCCGAGTAGACAGCTTCCACGTTTTCTCCTTCAGCACGCGCAGCCTTTGTTTGGGAAAAGCTTAATGAAGGGAAATTCCACTGATTTAATGGGAGGGAAATGAAGCAGCTGATTAGGAGGAATTTCCTGGCTGGGCTGGAAAGAAATCCCAGGGCATCAATTTACTGAGCTCTTTGTACCCTCTTTAAGAGAAAACAGTCTCCCTGAGCAGCGCAGCCAGCTGGGATGTGTTCCCTGTCGGGCTGATTCATGAGAACATCACGGCAATGCCCTGTGGGCTGGGGACAGGGGCCTCATTGTGGGGCCCCATTGGTAGGTGCCTGGGGAGGGCAGGGACGGAGAGAAGGCCCCCGAAGCAGCTTCCCCACCCCCGCCGCTGTCACCCAGGGTTTGGGGGGCTGCCCATCTTTCTCTCTTCCTGTGACACCCACCCAGATCGCCACTGTCGCTGTCTTTGTAGGTGTCTTCCAGGCATCCCTCCCAAGCACAGATGTCACTGGTGCCTTCTGCACTCTAGAAAGATTTTAGTGATTTTCTGCAGCGTTTCCAGAGTTAAGACTTTGCTTCTCTTCCTTCTCGGACTCTCTGCTCCTAGGTCCTGTGGACTGGCGTCTGTGATAATGCTTGGTTTCAGCTTTTCTGTGCCTCAGTTTCCTCACTTATAAAGGGGGGAATAATATTACCTGCCCCCTGGGGTGGTGGCAGGGCAGGAGGTCTCCAGGTGGGGTCCCCAGGCTGACAGCGTCCATATCAACCCAGAGCTTGTTGGAAAAGCACATCCTCCCGCCCCACCCAGCCCCGCTGAATCAGAATCTCTGTGAGGGGCCCAGCAGCCTGTGTCTGAGCAGGCCCTCCGGGGCGTTGTGAGTGTGACAGCCGCTGTTCTAAGAGTGACCCGAACCTGGCAAACCTGAAATGAGTCAGTCAGCACTCACACCCCACCCTTGCTCCAGCCTGGCTTGAGGGAGAGTGCAGAGCCTGTTAGATGTGGAAATAACAGCTCCATGGTTTCTGTTTCTTAGGGTTTCTGGACACATAGAGGGATTTTCAGTCATCCAACCCTTGAGATTCTCAGCCCTGAGTTGTCCAATACAGTAGCCACCAGTGGTGGGTGCTCACTGAGACCTGAAACGGGCTTATCCTGAGCCCATTTGGAGATGTGCATAAGTGTGAAACACACACCACATCTTCAAGATTTTATACCCATGACTCTGATATTGTTTTGCTACTAAGAGTCATTCAGCGAGGAGTGGTGGCTCACACCTGGAATCCCAGCGCTTTGGGAGGCCAAGACAGGCGGATCATCTAAGTTCAGGAGTTCAAGACCAGCCTGACCAATATTGTGAAACCCCGTCTTTACTAAAAATACAAAAATTAGCCAGGCATGGTAGTGCACGCCTGTGATCTCAGCTACTCGAGAGGCTGAAGCAGGAGAATCGCTTGAAACCAGGAGTTGGAGGTTGCAGTGAGCACAGATCACGCCACTGCACTCCAGCCTGAGTGACAGAGCAAGACTCCATCTCAAAAAACAACAACAGCAACAAAAAAGAGTCATTCATTTACTGAGTATTCATCGCACACCTGTGCTGGGACCCAGGGCACAGGTGATCAAGTCCACAGAACTCGTGTCTCAGAAGGGGAGTGAGCACTGGAGCCCCCCCAGGCTGGTGGCCAGGACAGTATGTGGCACCCACTGCGCTGAGGACGCTGCTCACCCACGCCCCAGTGGGGTCACCTCGGGCAGGCAGTCTCCCCGAGCCTTGGCGGCTGCTCTATCTAATGGGTCACCATGAGAATTATGTGAGAAAGTGTGTGCGAAACCCTCGGCTAGTGGCTCAGAGGAAGCATGACGTAAAACCCAGGGGCACCTGTTGCCACAAACTCAAAAGATGCCATGGTTCGTTTCTCATAGGGTCAGGTGGCTCGATCCTAAGAAATGGCCTACATGACTCATCTCTCAGGATAAGGTGTCTGGGATCTTCCAGGAATTCATTCTTTCATCCTGGCTTCCTTCCTTCCAACGCTCACTCCTTGCAAGTATCATACACTTAGTGAGTGCAGATAATGTCCCAGGTACCCAGGATCCCACAGGGAGCACAACAGTGGACCTCTGCCACCGTAGCATTTGCCATCTAGTGAGAAGACACAGTGCAGAAACAACAATGCCAGCGGCAGGGCCCAGGGGGTCACTATTGTGGAGGGACAGTTCAGGGAGGCATCAAGAGGGCCAGTCTTACTGTCCAGAGGGGACTGCTTGGTGACATGGCTCTTGAGAGAGCCCTGCAGAGACACCTGGGCATGGCCATGCCCTGTCCTTTCCTTATTTAGATGGGACCTCGCCACTGTCTCTGCACAAAGCACGGGGCTGGGAAATTTCCCAGGAGCCTGTTCCCAATAGGGGCTGTGGAAACCCCGCCTGGAGCCAGAGGATGGCTCTGTCCCTGATGGCTGCTGAGCCCTAGAGGGGTCACAGGCAGTCCCAAGGGAGATGCAGATGTTGTATATACTGTGACCAGTTCACAGCAAACTGTATTTTAAATGTAGGGAATCCTTCAATCACACAAACCACCAAAACCCCCAGACAGAATTCTTAGCACACGGGGCCAAAGTCAGTTCTGCTTCTCCGTGGTTTTGATTGAGAAATGATCCTCTTCTAGAAGAGGACTTCCTGGACGTTTCGAAAGGCAGCCATGCAGAAATGAGGCAACATAAGAGACTAGCACCTGCTCTCTCACCCCCACCTGCCAGGGTGGCAAAGGAAAGACAAGACATCAGGAAGAGCTTTCAATACTGGGACGAAAGTGTCTGAATATTCTTGGGGAAATGCCGGACATCTGGATGGATGTCAGTTCAGAAATTTTTCTTAGACCAGAACCATTTTTAATACAGATGTTGCAAGAGATGGGAAATATATCAACAATGATGGTGAGCATTCTTGCTCACGTGATGTTTTGAAATTTCACCTTTATACAAAGGTATATATGGGTGGACATCCATCTGAATTGCAAATTCATTCACTTAACACTTACAGGCAGCCCCTGGGCTAGGGACTGGGGACACAGCCGGGAACAGAAGAGAAAAAAATCCCTGTCCTCAGAGGGATGTGGTCTGCTGTAGCAAGTGCAGTAGAGATATAATGTGAGCATGCATGGAATTCTAAAGTTTCTAGAAGTCAAAGGAAGAAGTAATGGAAGGGAAATTTTAGGATGCATTTTACTTATCCCAATGTATCCATATTACTTCAATATGTAAT